TACCAAGTAAAGGCTAAAGTGTCTGGATCTGTATAGTCACCTTCCAAATGTCCCAAGTGCTTTCAGTTCTATTTCCTATGCCTGGTTCCGTCTTAAAACTTAATATGTTTCAAAAATATAAAAACAAAATACAATCATACTTACCAAGCAATTAAAAAACCAGACTTTAGTTTTAAATACTCCCTTAGGCCTCATTAGAGGTGAAATGGTAGGGATACACTCAAATTTGCTTCAGCTGTAATATTCTGAAAAATCTGCTCTCCCTTGCAACTTCTACAAGGCTGACAAGCTTAAACACCTACTGTTATAAGACTTCTCGCAACCCTGAATTATCCATGATTAATGACCAATAATCATGCAAGTTACCACCTTACCAAATCACCAATATTGAATTCTGCATGCCATTATTTATAATTGCTTAATTTTCATTTTCAAATATAAATAAGCAGTCTAGATATAACTCGAGGGAATATTTCCTTATGTGCCTTCTAGGTTGAATTTCTAATAGTTAAATTGTAAATTTATTATAACAAGACTAAAATTCTACTCTAATGATGATGTGAAAGCTGTTAATCTTAAGAAAAAATATATTTAAGGACTTCCTAATATTTAAATAGAAAAACAAACTGCCTGTTAAAGTAAAAAATATTTCTTATACGGCTTTAAGATCAACTTTTTTAAGCCAACAAATGTTTATTAAAATCTGTGTAGATTTTAACATCAAACAAAATAATCTCAAAGAACTATATTTAATTTTTAGTTACACAATTCAAATTCAGCTCAAACATCTTTAAAGTCTGAATAGAAACTTGTATCTTCTGAGGATCAATTAAAAGCACCACTGTCACCTTTACACCTCAAAAATTCTTAAGGGAAAAGAAAACTCTGTAAAAACATACAGCATCTACGATAAATCACCTTCAATCCAGACATTAAAAAGAACAGAATGACAATGAGGCGAGTTCTCTACAAACAACTGTCAAAACAAGACTTTCATAAGAACGCTATAGGATAATTCCTTCAAGTTGAGTCTATAAAAAGTAAGAAAAAAATGAAAACTGCCGAAGTTGTAAGTCCCATACTTAATATTCCTAGAAAACAGAGTGCCCAAAACCACTTTCCTAAATTTTATTCCACCATGCACTAAAGGTTAGGAAGAATATTATGTGATCCATTTCTGCATTTTGGGCAACACAGAAAATCAGCAGACATCTTGCTAAATTTCCGCTTTACCCTATGTCTGATGGAATACAATAAAACTGCCATGCAGCTGTCACCAGTAAAGGAAAAATCTGAGTATTAGGAACCCAAATTATACAATATGCCTTTCGCAACCTTCAGTTGTGTGTTCAGAAAATTAAAGCAAACAATAATGTGAAGAAAATGACTGGCTGTGATTAGACAGTGATTCACTTTTATTCTTCAACTACATACGACCTCAGCTGAATGCTGAACTTAGCCATTCATCACTCCTTCAAAACGTGTATGCTGCACACATCTGTGATATGGACACAAACTCCAAACGGCCAATGAAAAGCAGAAAAGCAAGCAAATCTCGAGCCCATGATGAATGGAAACCTGAACCTGGTTTGCAATCACTAAAAGACGGCCAACAAAGAAAGACAACAGCACAGACCGGAGTAGCCAAAACCTCCAGCAGTTTCAGAAAATGCCGGTTAAATTCACCTTTTATAGCAGTCATTTAAAACAAATTTGGGGGCGGGGTTGTGACAACTTTCAACGCCTCAAAGCTGATCACCTGACATGTGAACCTGTAACAATGTATTTGAACGGCTCCCCAAGGCCTGGCGCCCCTAAGTTTGTGCTTGAGTGCTCCAGGCATTTTACAAGACGGACTATGCTGTCCGCGTCTGGGGTCGTCTTTGGGCAACTGAGACCTGGAGTGGGCCATGAGAAACAGGTAACCTACGGAATAGGTAAAGAAAGGGTTAGCATGGAGGTCAGGAGTATGCTGGGGCGCTGGAGACAGTGGAGACAAAATCAGCTGGAGCAGTGTTGGTGAACCTTCGTTGGGTTGTCTGTCATTTTTCTGAAAGTAGAGAAGTCTCGCCAATAGTTGTGACATGAGAAAACAAGGGTTTAAATGGAAATAGAAGTGGTAACATCAGGGAAGGAAAGAGGCTGGATCAGGTAGGAAAAATTAACTGAACTCAGTAACTGAACTACAGAGAACTGCCATCCTACACGAAACCTGCACACCGTAAAGTAGTGTCGCTAAAAAGCACTGGACGAGAGAACCTGAGGATGTCTGGGAAGGGCATTCAGGTTCTTTCAAGAAAATAGCATATATATTACCAAAAATACATTCAAGTGACAAAGATTAAAATCCCAAAGAAACATCCAATGGCATGAGGCCTTGTACCTACCAACTCAGGGGTTGTGGAACTTCAACTTTCTGACCGTCCACCTCCAGGTCTTCCAATTCCTTGAAATACTTGTTCTTTAAGCAATGGAGAATCTCTTTCGCGTGGCTATTAAAAAATAAGCACGTTTCAAACCACCTTCGCATGGAGAGAAGACATTCTTTAATCGCTGCCTTTTTACTCTAGTCCAAGTCTAAACAAGTCATTGCTAAATCACTAAAGAATGAGAAACTAAATGCGATAGCGCTGCATTCCTTTTCTCCTAAATATTTCTACAGTCCTATTTTCACCCGCAGCTCATCTTGGAAAGATTTAACTACAAACGCACATAAAAAAAGAAAAGACTGCAAGCTTTAGGCAAACTGGATAATGTCACAAATTGTCATGTGTTCCAAAGCGTAGGTGTCCTCAGCTCAGACGAATTCCCCAGGGGTCAACCCTTCTTCAGACTGCGTTTTTATTTTAGTCGAGCCCCCCTGTCGCAATGCCTCCTCCACCTATTCCAGCGGACCCTGCGCTCGCTCCTCGACGCTTCCGGTCTCGGAGCCGCGCCGCGGACAAGCAGCAGTTCTCCAGCACTGTGACACCTCGGAAAAACATCCTCGTTTTTAAATTTAACCTCGGACGTCCTAACCCCAAAACTCTCAAAGAAATGAAAGCACGGACCCCTACCTTTTGTAACCAGTAATTCTTAAGGTGGCCGGGAGGGGCTCCCTGAGCGCTTCCATGAACTGGTCCCACTCGCCCTCCGGCACGATCTTCAGCTCCTGGTAGTAGTGCTCGAAGAGCTTGTTCTCTTTGACGATTTCGGGGTACCCGCCTTCCCAGCCCTGAGGAACGAAAGGGGCGTCTACCTAGGGCCCGAGGAGCTGCCCCTCGCCACCTACCCCCACCCCCCGGGCCCCGGGGTCGGAGAAGCCCGCGAGCCCCGGCC